TTCCTCAATCTTTGACAGCTTTGGTTACATTTATTAAGCAGTTTACAAACATGAAAACTTCACAATCAACTGTTGTTATTGTTATAAACCAACCCGTCCTCGACTCAAGTCCATTACATTCAGCAGTCAACCCCACAGACGCATTCATAAATTTTAACATGCTGTTCATTCAAAACGGGAATTTTCTCAAGTATAAATTAATATTATAATATATTAGCATATTGTGTATATATAGGCATAGGATAGGTTAGGTCAGGTGTTTAGGTTCTGTTGACAATTATTTGTATTTGTAGTACGTGGGTGAAGCATTTATAGTGTTGTGATTCGAACAAAATTCGGCAGTGAAGCACTTGCTCCGGATATGTTCGAACGTCAGCAGTTGTGAGTCGTGTGTAAACCGCTTTTCATTCATAAACAGGGGGTTTGGCGGGTGCATGGAATCACTTTTCGATCTTTGTCTGGAGGACGGGCTGTATAAACAGCCTCCTGGTGCTTCGGAGCTCATTAACTGTTCAATAATTGTAAACAAAGCCGCCAAAGATTGAGAAAAGATGAACAGGTTCGTAAGTACTTGCGTAACTGCTTCGTGAATCTTGCTCCGGGTATCTGGGAACACAAGAACATCAGGAGCATGTTCACACAGGGACGTTAGATAAAACTTTTTCAGCGTCAGAGTAAACAGGTGGAATGCATTGGGCAGTGATGTGGTGGAGGCTGACTCCATACACAATTTCAAATGTAGATATGATAGGACCCAGTAGGCTCACGAACCTGTACACCAGTTGATTAACGGTTGAGAGGCGGGACCAAAGAGTCAAAGCTCAACCCACACAAGCACAACTAGGTGAAGAGGTATAGCATTATGCTGTTCCAGCAGTGCTTGGTTCCCGGATCACGTCGTCCCGATGGGTGTCATTCCATGCATTTTTTACTGCCATTTTCAACCCTCCCCCCCCCGAGGCGGGTCCTGTAAGAGTTACCCCACCTGTAAGAGTTACCCCACCTGTAAGAGTTACCCCACCTGTAAGAGTTACCCCACCTGTAAGAGTTACCCCACATATAATGCATCGCCGCAGACCCCGGCACGCGCCTGCTTGGAACACGCTCGCCCAAGTGGCATAAAGGGATTTCTGGTGGTCCCTGGCGGTGGCTCTCTCTCTCTCCCCCCCACCACCACCCCCATCCATTCTCCTCAACCACACAATGGGTGGTAAGACTCACATGCTGCCGTCTTGAGCGCCGGGGGGTTGTGGATGGGGGTCTCTAGCACCCACTTGGCGCCAGTCCAGCAGCTGTTGCAACGTCGTATGTGCCATGACCAAATTGTTAAAACAACGGTTTGACAAAGATCGTTTTCTGATTGTCAAAATTATATATATTAGGTTAGGTTCGGTTAGGTTAGGTTCGGTTAGGTTAGGTTCGGTTAGGTTCGGTTAGGTTAGGTTAGATTAGGTTAGGTTAGGTTGGGTTGGATTGGGTTGGGTTAGGTTAGGTTAGGTTGGGTTAGGTTAGGTTGGGTTGGGTTGGGTTGTGTTGGGTTGGGTAGGTTTTAAAATCCGTTGGTGAATCGTCTTGTGTTCGATGTGACTTGTAGACCTTCGTACAGTGGAGGGTGACCCGGATAATGTAACTGAACATTCATGTTCAGAGAGGAATCCATAAAAATATTTATGAACGTATTTTTGGTGGATCTCCTACAGGAATGACCCGGGATATTATACAATAAAAATCATGCAGGTGTCAAGGGCCACTCGATAAAAAAAATATTTTATGAACGAAATTTTCTAGATATTTTTTTTTTGTTAAGTTTTAGGGAAAGATAATGTAATGTCTGAAAGTAATCTTTCCTTTTGTATGTTGGGCTTATGGTTTTGTTTATGGCTTATGGCTTATTTTGTAACTAGCTCATGAAGATTGTAACTTGCTGAGCTAAATGAATTGTGGGGTTCAGTCCCTGAGCCCATTATGTGTCTCTGTAACCCTTTCCACTACCGCCCACAAGATGGGTATGGGGTGCATAATAAATGAACTAAACTAACTAACTAACGGCTTATGGTGGTGTTATTGTGCACCTGAGTCTCGAACGTCTTCCAGAATTGTCGTGTTTGCGATTTTCCAGCCTGCGACCCGACCAGATGGCTGGGTGCTTGGGCTAATTTCCATTTGGTTGAGTCTTGATTTGGTTTGTATCGACCTGGAGCTCTTACGACCGACCCATTTGGAATTAGGAACGGTGAAATTGGGGTCAAAGTTAGGTTAGTGTGGCCAGAGACTGCGTGCGCCTAATGCTTTCTGATCTCGAGTAAGGTTCCAGCGTTTTTCTTTGTTTTTTGGAAGTAAAATTCTAGGAAAATTGGATTGTTTATAATTATTTTTGTTTCCAAGATCCAGAAGGGTGTTTTTTGTTTATTATATCTGATTTGAACCTCTGCCAGACACAGCTATGTTATCTAAGGCCAGATTTGAACCCCCCGTTAGAACCAAGAATATAAGCTGAGGAAATATTACTGAATAAGATACAACTTCTTCTCCGGAGGCAGCAGCGGCTGAGGAGTTAGCAAGGCTCCGGCTTATTCTCCAGTGACAACGCCCTTCCCACTGCGTCTTACATCCCCAGAGAAAATGGTCTAAGTTTTGAGGTTGAGAAGCGAGACAGAAGAGAATGCCTAAGGAGGGGGGGGCATGGAAGGGGCCAGGGAGGGGGGGCTATTGAAGGGTTGGAGAAGGGGAGATAGGAAGGAATGAGGATGGGTGGAGGGTGAAATATTGGGAGAGGCTGGCAATAGACTCTGGAGACATCGCGTCCCATCCTCCGACAAGGGGGGCAAGGCGAGTCTTCCAAGTTCTCAGGGGCCACCAGCGTGTTAGCACGTTTGTGTGTTTGGCTGCGATTTACATGTGTCGCTCGTTGTACTGGAGTCCAACCACTTGGGCTGGACGGTAGAGCGACGGTCTCGCTTCATTCAGGGCGGCGTTCAATCCCCGACCGTCCAAGTGGTTGGGGACCATTCCTTCCCCCCGTCCTATTCCAAATCCTTATCCTGATCCCTTCCCAGTGCTATATAGTCGTAATGGCTTGGCGCTTTCCACCTGATAGTTCCCTTGTTGTACTGGAGTATTTTGCTTGTTAGCCTCCCGAAGCTTCTCCCGAAGCCTCCCGTGAAGAGCGTGCCACTGAGGCCGCAAGAATTGAGGACGAATTAGAGATCTGGTTTGAAGCCACGTCGAGAGCGAAATCATTAAAGCCGTGATTTACATTTTTTTCTTCAGAGGTAAGGATTAAACTTTCGGTATATGCATACTTTTCAGTATACATACACCGGTATACATGCAGCCGGCTCTCTCGATTTCCCTATCCGCAAAAAATACCTTACCAGAAAGGCAGGGAATCGAGAGAACGGGCTGGAGGAGCAGGTGGAGTTAGCGAGGTAATCTAGGAACGTCACCACGCTCCATAAAGCCCAGTAGTTACCGGAAACGTTTAAGAAGATTGTTGGTCTCTGGCCATACTTAGAGACCCTGGGACTCCTTGATGGTACCTAAGAGGTTAATTTACACGAAGGCTTATCTTGTTCATTTAAAAATAAGAGGATATTAACAAAAATAATTATTCTCGTCGCAAAAACATACCTTTTTCACCCTGGCCAAACCCGGGTAGGGGATATATGAAGCATGTTTCGCGAAGTAATTGTGAATGGTGTGTACTAATGTGGTGGGGAGTGTGAGGGGTGGTGGGGAGAGTGTGGGGGTGGTGGGGGAGAGAGTGAGGGTGGTGGGGAGAGAGTGAGGGTGGTGGGGAGAGTGGGGTATGATGGGGAGAGAGTGGGGGTTGTGGGGAGAGTGGTGGGTGGTGGTGGGGAGATTATGGGGGTGGTGGGGAGAGTATGGGGGATGGTGGGGATCGAGTGTGTGGGGGTGGTGGGGAGTGTGTGGGGGTGGTGGGGAGAGTGTGGGGGATGGGTGGGGGAGTGTACTTATCTAATTCTACAACAGACAGTGTACAAGTGTTTATTAGATGTTTTAAAGTGTGGTAGTTAGTTCACAGTCATATATAAGACTACACCACACAATATGAAGGGTTACATAATGTGTGCCAAGAGCTAGTTACGTGATCTTAAACAATCCTCATCTCACAAGATGGTTAGTCATACGGAGGAATATCACCAGTAGTCTACACTATCAAACCTTCGGTGCATTACAAGGATATCCTCAGGAACCTGAGAGTTAATATAGAGATTAAAGATTGTTTCAAGTGTACCTGCATTTATGAAGCTACGAATGGCTGCCGGAGCTCTTCGTTCTAATCCACGGTGGTCTTCAGCCCGAGGTCGTAATTCCGCTCCTGATTGGCACTTAGCGTTCCAATCAGATGTCTGGGTGGAACGTGTCAGACGTCTGAGTGCGCTGATGGGATTTTTAGAGGGTGAAGTGCGTCTCAAATACGATGTAGATGCATCTTACTGCTACACGTGAGGAACTTTTACTCGATTTAATTGAACTGAAGTTATGGGGGCCTGAGAGCTGAGTGGACAGCGCTCGGGATTCATAATCCTAAGGTTCCGGGTCTCGATCCCCGGTGGAGGCGGAAACAAATGGGCAGAATTTCTTTCACCCTGATGCCCCTGTTCACCTAGTAGTAAATAGGCACCCGGGAATTAGACAGCTGCTACAGGGCGTGTAACAAACAGAAGTCCTGGTCGAGGACTGGGCTGCGTGGGACGCTAAGCCCCGAAATCACCTCAAGATAACCATCTCAAGATAGATGGGGTGATTGAGGATGGCAAGAGTCTTCACACTCTCCTGAAGGTCACGGTGACCCAGGTCATGTTCTCAGGGGGTCATGCTCACGAGTATGACCCCTCGAGTGAGAGCTGGAGCTGTGTTGGGCATCATCATCCGTCACGATCATCACTTCTCATCATCTTCATCCTCCCTAATGTCACCATCGTCACTCTCCCTAATGTCACCATCATTACCATCATCATCGCTGCTCTTGGGTCTTAGTCTATAAATGTGTCATTTCCACATTGGTTTGTTTTGGCTCCCATCTTCTTTGTTGCTTCTGCCTCGTCCCTTTCTGGCTTCTTTGGCCTCTTGCTTCCTTTCTGGCTTCTTGCTTCCTTTCTGGCTTCTTTGGCTTCTTGCTTCCTTTCTGGCTTCTTGCTTCCTTTCTGGCTTCTTTGGCTTCTTGCTTCCTTTCTGGCTTCTTTGACTTCTTGCTTCCTTTCTGGCTTCTTTGGCTTCTTGCTTCCTTTCTGGCTTCTTGCTTCCTTTCTGGCTTCTTGCTTCCTTTCTGGCTTCTTTGGCTTCTTGCTTCCTTTCTGGATTCTTTGGCTTCTTGCTTCCTTTCTGGCTTCTTTGGCTTCTTGCTTCCTTTCTGGCTTCTTTGGCTTCTTGCTTGGCTTCCTGTGCTCGCTGTTTTTGCTTGTTTCTTCTTCTTCCATCTTCGTTCTTCTTCATCCTCCTCCTCGTCAGTCCTAGCGTGAATCCTGACACACTCCCGCAACGCTCAGTGTGTGTGTGTGTGTGTGTGTGTGTAACTTGAACTGTAACCAAACCACCCCAGCTCCCGGACCTGTGTGTGTGTGTGTGTGTGTGTGTGGTGTGTGTGTGTGTGTGTGTGTGTGTGTGTGTGTGTGTGTCGCTGGATCACAAGAGAAGAAAATGTTGCAGAAATGTGAAATACAGTTCAAATTGTAATTCTCTCTTTCCCCCTTCTTCCCCCCCCCCACCCCATTCCTTCTCCTTAAACTCCCTCCCTCAACCCATCCATCTCAACTCGGACATCTTCTCCTCAACGGCATTTGTTTTTGAGCATTGTGTTGTATCTCCAAGGGGAAAGAAAACGGGGTTTGGTCACGTATTTTCTACCGTTTTTACTTCAGTTTTCACATTTTGTTTTTCCATCTATTATTATTACGTGGTAGAGTCAACGTTTTGGACGTAATGCGCAAAATAGATGGTTGAGAGGTTTATTTGTCTATGTTCTTTTTTATAACAGTTATGTTCGAACATTGGACATTTCGAACATAGGTTTTGTTTATTATGCAACCCATACTGTGGGTGGTAGTGGACCCTATACCCATCCTGAGGGTGGTGGTAGACCCCATTCTCATCCCGTGGGTGGTAGTGGACCTCATTCCCATCCCGTGGGTGGTAGTGGACCCCATTCCCATCCCGTGGGTGGTAGTGGACCCCATTCCCATCAGGTGGGTGGTAGTGGACCCCATTCCCATCCCGTGGGTGGTAGTGGACCCCATTCCCATCCTGTGGGTGGTAGTGGACCCCATTCCCATCCTGTGGGTGGTAGTG